AATGGGAGGCTGGGAGGCCGTGGAAACTTTTTTTTATTCTCAATAAAAAAAAAAAAGAAAAAAAAAGTACAAGAAAAAAAAAAGAACTAGTTCTAGGACAGGCTCCAAAGTTACAGAGAAACCCTGTCTCAAAAAACCAACCAACCAACCAACCAACCAACAAATAATCAAGTTAATTCAGAGAGATAAGCATGGAGCTGAATGGGTACTTCAGTGGTTAAGGGCACTTGCTGTTTGTTCAGAGGACCTTGATTCCTATCTACAACAATTAACTTGAATGAATTACATACTTAAATAGGCCAAATTATAAAATAACAAGAAAATAAAGGCAAAACACAGGATAAAATAAAGAGCCTTGTATCGTGTTGAAATTTGTGTTTTCATATTCAACATAAAAAAGCAAAAACAATTGGTGGCCTCAAATTATTATGATTCTTGTATCTTGTTGTAATTTGTGTTTTCATATTCAACATAATATAACCAAAAACACTTTGTGGTCTGGACTTATTAAGAAAATATTCATATACCAAAATTAAATCAAGACAGATAAATAATTTAAATAGACATATAACACTTACGGAAATAGAAGCAGTCATAAAAAGTCTTCCAACCAAAAACAGTCCAGGGCCAGATGGTTTCAGAGCAAAATTCTACCAGAATTTTAAAGAAGATCTAATTCCAATACTCCTCAAACTGTTCCACATAATAGAAACAGAAGGAACATTGCCAAATTCATTTTATGAAGCTACAGTTACCTTGATACCAAAACCAAACAAAGATGCAATAGAGAAAGGGAACTACAGATCAATCTCCCTAATGAACATAGATGCAAAAATACTCAATAAAATACAGGCAAACAGAATCCACGAATACATTAAAAAACCATCCACTAACCCTGCAGAGATGCAGAGATGCAGGGATAGTTCAATATATGAAACTCTGTCAATGCAATCTACCATATAAACAAAGAAAAAAAACCCACATGATTATCTCATTAGATGCTAAAAAAGCCTTCAACAAAATTCAACATCCCTTCATGATAAAGGTCCTGGAGATATCAGGGACACAAGGAACATAACTAAATATAATAAAAGCAATTTACAGAAAGCCAATAGCCAACATCAAATTAAATGGAGAGAAACTCAAAGCGATTCCACTAAAATTAGGAACATGAAAAGGCTGTCCATTCCATATCACTTCAATATAGTACTTGAAGTTCTAGCTAGAGCAATAAGACAACAAAAGGAGATCAAAGCGATACAAATTAGAAAAGTCAAACCATCACTATTTGCAGATGATATGTTAGTATATATAAGTGATCCCAAAAATTTGATGAGGGAACCCCTACAGATAATAAACACCTTCAGTAATGTGGCAGGATACAAGATCAACTCAAAAATATCAGTAGTCATCCTATATACAAATGATAAACAGACCGAGAAAGAAATCAGAGAAATAACACCCTTCACGATAGCTACAAATAACATAAAATATCTTAAAGTAACTCTAACCAAACAAGTGGAAAGCCTGTATGGTAAGAACTTTAAATCTTGAAGAAAGAAATTTAAAAAAGACACCAGAAAAGGAAAAATCTCCCACGCTCTGGGATAGGTGAATTAACATAGTAAAAACTGCAATCTTACCAAAAGCAATCAACAGATTCCATGCAATGCCCAGCAAAATTCTTCACAGAACTCGAAAGAACAAT